GTCTAGGATAGGATATAATAATAATAATAATTATTATTATTATTATTAAGTGGACACCCTAGCCATATACACACATACTTTTATATAGTGTCTAGGATAGGATATATTATTATTATTATTATTATTATTATTATTATTAAGTGGACACCCTAGCCATATACACACATACTTTTATAATGTGTCTAGGATAGGATATATTATTATTATTATTATTATTATTATTATTATTATTAAGTGGACACCCTAGCCATATACACACATACTTTTATAATGTGTCTAGGATAGGATATAATAATAATAATATATTATTATTATTATTAAGTGGACACCCTAGCCATATACACACATACTTTTATATAGTGTCTAGGATAGGATATATTATTATTATTATTATTATTATTATTATTATTAAGTGGACACCCTAGCCATATACACACATACTTTTATAATGTGTCTAGGATAGGATATATTATTATTATTATTATTATTATTAAGTGGACACCCTAGCCATATACACACATACTTTTATAATGTGTCTAGGATAGGATATAATAATAATAATAATTATTATTATTATTAAGTGGACACCCTAGCCATATACACACATACTTTTATATAGTGTCTAGGATAGGATATATTATTATTATTATTATTATTATTATTATTATTAAGTGGACACCCTAGCCATATACACACATACTTTTATAATGTGTCTAGGATAGGATATAATAATAATAATAATTATTATTATTATTAAGTGGACACCCTAGCCATATACACACATACTTTTATATTGTGTCTAGGATAGGATATATTATAATAATAATAATTATTATTATTATTATTAAGTGGACACCCTAGCCATATACACACATACTTTTATATAGTGTCTAGGATAGGATATATTATTATTATTATTATTATTATTAAGTGGACACCCTAGCCATATACACACATACTTTTATAATGTGTCTAGGATAGGATATATTATTATTATTATTATTATTATTATTATTATTATTATTATTAAGTGGACACCCTAGCCATATACACACATACTTTTATAATGTGTCTAGGATAGGATATATTATTATTATTATTATTATTATTATTATTATTATTAAGTGGACACCCTAGCCATATACACACATACTTTTATAATGTGTCTAGGATAGGATATAATAATAATAATAATTATTATTATTATTAAGTGGACACCCTAGCCATATACACACATACTTTTATAATGTCTCTAGGATAGGATATATTATTTTATATTTATATTTATATTTATTATGTATATATATTATTATTATTTATTATTATATAGGATACAGATATTTGTGTATTTTGAGTAGTAATGTTTTTGATTGTGATCCGCTTTGATCCCAGGGTATAAATAAATTAACGAAGGGACCACCACCCCGGCTCCTATTGTGACCCCGGTTGGATCATGACCCAAATAGGCTCCCTTCTTCTCTCGATGTCCATCCACCAAAGCAATCAAGTGGGGAAAATAAATGGCATTTCGTGGGAGGCGGCCGAGAGGGGATCTGTCTGTGCAGATGCCGGGAGAATGTGGTCGGAATATACAAGCACATGATTGCAATTCAGTAAATAACGTGTGTTGTTTTGGGGGGAATGAGAGTTGCTGCCAACAGATGTGCTGCCTTTAATGGAAAATGGGAAAAAAAATCCCATAATTAGGAGGAATGCGCCTCCAAACTCAATGGCAAATCACTTCTTTTCAGTTTCGGTCCAGAAATGATTGGGCTTTTTTATTTTTTTGCAGCCGCCTTAATTCTCTGTTATTGTCTCCCATCATAGAATCATCATAATTAGTTGAAGAAGTCTATTTCTTGGAAGGTTTTTAATCAGAGGCTGGGTGGCCATCTGTCAGGAGGGTTCGGATGGTGCCGTCCTGTCTGTTCCAAAATGCATTGAACTGGATTGTATGAGTCTGCACTGCCATAAGATGCAGTTGAGTAATGGCATCATATGGCAGTGTAAATGGGGTCTATGCTTTTATGTTTCTAGAATTTTTGGGTAAATGCAAAGGTTGGCCATCTGTCGAGAAGGTTTCAACTTTCCACTTTGGGGTAGATATGACCTCAGAGCATAATGTGTGCGAAACTACAAACCCGTGTATGGTTGTTGCTGAAGGACGTTGCTCTATTCCATGTGGACAGTGTCTTGGTGACGTTGACAGATGTTTTCGGAGACAATCCTCGAGAGCGAGGATTAAAAAGCAATTTGCAACCACTTTAAAGCGGGCCTCCATATTTGGGTCACGGGCATTAACTCTTTCTGGGAGAGGCTTTCATGATATCTGCACTGGATTATCATTCTAGCATATGGCTGGATGACCATCTGTCAGGAGGGTTTGGATGGTGTCTTCCTTTGTGGCAGAATGGGGGTCACACTCAATGGCCCTTGAGGTCTGCTTTAAAATTGATTCCCCCAAGGCCTATTCTTTGGGTGCGTCTACACTGTAAAATAAATGCAGTTTAACGCCACTTGAACGGCTATGGGATCCTTAAAGTTGTAGCTCAACAAGCCTTCTCCACCCAAGAGTATTAGTTCATACGAGGGTTGAATGAAAAGTAATGCCTCCACCTTTGTAACTCCTCAACAGATGGCAGTACTGGTATGTGGCAGGTACTGGCTTGTTCAGTAGACTCTCCTCTACAGTTCCATTTTGGCGGGAAGCCTTAGCATTGAACGGTTGTGTTGTTAAAGTGCGAAGTATGGAACCCTGTGCAGACGGTCGGTCAATGCGATTTAAGCAACGTGCAGTCATTGAATTCTTGACAGCAGAAGGAGGGGACTCTCATAGTATACATTCCACTAGATTTGGAGCGACCCCAAAGGCCATCCAGTCCAACCTGCTTCTCTCATGCAGAAAGACACAATCAATGCCCTCTCAAGAGATGGCCATCCAGCCTCTGCTTTAAGATCTCCAAAGAAGGAAACTCTTAGGCAGTATATATTCCACTAGATTTGGAGGGATCCCGAAAGGCCATCTAGTCCAACCTCCTTCTGTCATGAAGGAAGACACAACCAAAGCCCTCCCAACAGATGTCCAACCCCCTCCTCCCAGACAGGAAGATATAATCATTGAAGGTGTCACCCCAAAGGAGATTCCTCAGAGAATACAAGCTGTTTATGGTGATTGTGTTGATGTGAGTACTGTGCGTTGTTGGGCGAGTAAGTTTAAAGATGTTGAGGTGGGAACATCTGACTTGCGTGACAAACAAAGAGTTGGACGTCCTGTGACAGCAACCACCGAGTTTCACAAGCAAAAGGTTGACAGATTGATTCAGGACGATCGTCGTATCAGTCAGAGAGAAATTTCAAGCATAATCGGCATTTCACAAGATCGTGTGGGTCACATTATTGCTTTGCTTGGCCATCGGAAGATCTGCGCACAATGGGTACCCAGGATGCTGACGCCTGAAATGAAAGTGCACAGACTTGAAACTTCAGAGACTGGATCTCGCCACCATATGACATCCTCTATACAGTCCAGATTTAGCACCATCTGACTTCCATCTGTTCCTGATAATGAAAGAAGATCTGTGGGGACATCATTATGCTTCTGATGAAGACGTTGAGAGAACTGTGAGATGCTGGTTGGAGAAACAGAGTGTCGACTTCTTCCGTGACGGCTTCAGAAAACTTGTTCATCGTTGGCAGAAATGTATCCAATTGTCTGGTGATAATGTGAAAAAGTGAATAGTGGTAGTTAAAGAGCACATTTTAAGGACTATTTCTGCGTTTGATTTATTAAAATAATCCCATCCAAACCCAAGTAATGAAGGAGGAGGCATTACTTTTCATTCAACCCTCCCATTAATATAATCTGCTCCAGCACCAAAATATGGTCCTTTGCTGCCCTCAGGTGGACAAATTAATATTACACCCTCCTTACTCGACAACACGGATTCCCCTCCTTCTGGCTGCTCCAATATACTGTCCTTTGCCGCCATCCAGTGGACACTTTAATTATTGCACTCACCTTGATATTTTGCTCCTCAATAAGCTAAGGCTGCTCCAATATGCTGTTTTTGCTGCCCTCCAGTGGACACTTTAATTATTGCACCAACCTTGATATTTTCCTGCTTAATAAGCCAAGGATACTGCAGTATACTGTCCTTTGCCGCCATCCAGTGGACACTTTAATTATTGCACCCACCTTTGTATTTTGCGCCTTAATAAGCCAAGGTTGCTCCAATGTACTGTTCTTTGCTGCCATCCAGTGGACACATTAATTATTGCACCTACCTTATTATTTTCCTCCTCAATAAGCCAAGGCTGCTCCAATATACTATTCTTTGCTGCCATCCAGTGGACACATTAATTATTGCATCCGCCTTCCTATTTTGCACCTTAATAAGCCAAGGCTGCTCCAATATACTGTCCTTTGCTGCCATCCAGTGGACATAATAATTATTGCACCACATTGCTATTTTGCGCCTTAAGAAGCCAAGGCTGCTCCAATACACTGTCCTTTGCCGCCATCCAGTGGACACTTTAATTATTGCACACGCCTTGCTATTTTCTATTCAATAAGCCAAGGCTGCTCCAATATATTGTACTTTGTCGCCCTCAAGTGGACATGTTAATTATTGCATCCACCTTGCTATTCCCCCTCCTTCTACAAACCAAGACTGGTCCAATATATTGTCCTTTGCCGCCATCCAGTGGTCACTTTAATTATTGCACCCACCTCGATATTTTCCGCCTTAAGAAGCCAAGGCTGCTCCAATATACTGTCCTTTGCTGCCATCCAGTGGACATAATAATTATTGCACCCGCCTTGATATTTTACGACTTAATAAGCCAAGGCTGCTCCACTATACTGTTCTTTGCCGCCATCCAGTGGACATAATAATTATTGCACACGCCTTGCTATTTTCTATTCAATAAGCCAAGGCTGCTCCAATATATTGTTCTTTGTCGCCCTCAAGTGGACACATTAATTATTGCACCCACCTTGATATTTTGCCTCTACGGAAGCCTGTAGGCGCCTCCACCCGGCCAGCCTCGGAAGCCTTTGTCTGCGCATGCGTCCCAGGGAAGTGGCTTGCTTGGTAAGGATTGCATGTATTGCTTAAGGGAAAGATTGGGGAGTACTGGGAAGGTGGAAGCAAAAGTCTAATCCCTTGTGCCTTCACAAGGGAGGGCTGGGGGGGGGGTGTCATTAGATCCTTTTATTTAAGGGGAAAGTCTTAAATGAGTTGGACAACAGGTCCCATCATCCCCAGGCAGCGTAGAAGTCAGGTTCCCAATGAGCTCCTGGGAGACTCCTGCAGTGCCCTAATGGGCGGTCTCTTTGTCGCCCCCAAGTGGACATATTAATATTGCACCCACTTTGCTATTTACTTCCATTAAACCAAGGCTAACTCAATAAACGTCTCTTTGCTGCCCCCAAGTGGACACATTAATATTTGTCATGTTAATATTCCTAATTGATTAATAATTAATATGGTAAATCAATATAATAAATATAAATAAATATAATAAATATAACACATGAATATAATAAATATAATTAATAAATAAATATAAATAATTGTAATAAATATAATTATAAATATAAATAATTATAATAAATATAGTAAATAAATATAAATAATTATAATAAATATAGTAAATAAATAAATAAAAATAATAAAAAATAAATAAAAATAATTATAATAAATATAATAAAAATAAATATAAATAATTATAATAAATATATTAAATAAATAAATATAAATAATTATAATAAATATAATAAATAAATATAATAAAATAAATAAATAAAAAAATAATTATAATAAATATAATAAATATAAATAGATATAATAATTATAATAAATAAATATAAATAATTATAATAGATATAATAAATAAATAAATAAATAAGGAGGCTCGGTGGCACAGCAGGTTAAACCACTGGGATGCTGAACTTGTTGACCAAAAGGTCACAGGTTTTAATCAGGGGAGCGGCGTGAGCTCCTGCTGTTAGCCCCAGCTTCTGCCAACCTAGCAGTTAGAAAACATGCAAATGTGAGTAGATCAATAGGTACCGCTCCGGCAGGAAGGTAACAGTGCTCCATGCAGTCATGCTGGCCACATGACCTTGGAGGTGTCTCTGGACAACGCCTGCTCTTCAGCTTAGAAATGGAGATGAGCACCAACCCCCAGAGTTGAACACTACTAGACTTAATGTCAGGGGAAAACCATTACCTTTACCCTTAGCCATCCTTTATTGCACTCCATGCAGTTGTGCTGGCCACATGACCTTGGAAGTGTCTATGGACAACACCGGTTCTTCGGCTTCAAAATGGAGATGAGCACCAGCCCCCATAGTTGAACACCTTTTCCTTAAGCCTTAGCCATCCTTTATGGCGTTCCATGCAGTCATGCTGGCCACATGGCCTTGGAGGTGTCTACAGACAACGCCAGAAATGGAGATGAGCACCAACCCCCAGAAATGAACACAACTGGACTTAATGTCAGGGGAAAACCATTACCTTTACCCTTAGCCATCCTTTATTGCACTCCATGCAGTCATGCTGGCCACATGACCTTGGAGGTGTCTATGGACAACACCGGTTCTTCGGCTTCAAAATGGAGATGAGCACCAACCCCGAGAGTCAGACACAACTGGACTTCATGTCAGGGAAAAACCTTTACCTTTAACCCAATAAATGTCCCTTTGCTGCCCCCAAGTGGACACATTAATATTTGTAATGTTAATATTACTAATTGATTAATAATTAATATGACTAATTAATATAATAAATCAATAAATAATATCATTAAATTAATAATTAATATGATTAACATGCAAATGTGAGTAGATGAATAGGTACTGCTCTGGCGGGAAGGTAATGGTCCTCCATGCAGTCATGCCGGCCACATGACCTTGTAGGTGTCTATGGACAAYGCTGGCTCTTCGGCTTAGAAATGGAGGTGAGCCCCAACCCCCAGAGCTGGACACGACTGGACTTAATGTCAGGGGAAAACCTTTATCTTTATCTTATGATTAAACGATATGTTWAATAAATAAATAAATAAATAAATATTATGATTAATATGTATAATTAATTAATGTTATTAACAATTAATATAATTAATTGATATTAATAATTTAATTAATTAATAATATAATGGTACATTAATTAATTAAGGGGCTATACGTCTCTTTGGCGCCATCCAGTGGACGAATTAATATTACACCCTCAATATTCTGCTGCTTGAATAAACAATAAAKAAGGGAAGGAAAAAAAGAAAGAAATTAAAGAAAGAAGGATTTTAAGAGGAGGAAAKAATGTAATGTTTTATTTTTCCCAGAGTGGGCTTTTATTAAAAATATTAGGTAATAATAATATTTATTATTTATTATTTATTTATTATTTACAGTATTTATATTCCGCCCTTCTCACTCCCGCAGGGGACTCAGGGCGGACTACAATGCACACATACATGGCAAACATTCAATGCTATAGACACACAACATTTCCTTTCCCCTCTCAGCCAATTGAGAATGTTGGAATGTTGAGGCTGGCCAATCAGAGACTGTTACTTCACCGTCCATTTGTGACACTGATTAAGTACTTCCTCATTCTTTGCATGCTTGCTGGAGATTTGTAGGGTGTCGTAAATTAAATTAGGTACCTAATTTTCCTACTTGACAGATGCAACTGTCTTTCGGGCTGCAAAGGTCAACAGCAAGCTACACAAATTGGTCGGAAGCTCACTCCGACCCAGGCTGGCTTCGAACTCATGACCTTAATAATTCCTTAATAAAAATGCTAAGATATAAACAAATTGAATAAAATAAGGATTTTATGGTGTTATAAATTAGTTAAATTAGCCTCCCTGCATATGCGGTACCTAAATTTCCTACTTAACAGATGCAAATGTTTTTCAAGCTGCAAAGGTCGACAGCAAGCTACACAAATTAGTCAGAAGCTCACTCCAACTGGCTTCAAACTCATGACCTTAATAATTCCTTAATAAAAATGCGAATATATAAACGAATGGAATATATGTGCTCATACAACCCTGTCATTTCCTATTCCTTTGGAGAGCGAAATATGGCTCCCCTCCCTGGGGCCGAATTGGTGAGGACCCCGCTACAGTTGTATCGCTATTTGCTCCGTTGCTGCCGAGAGCTGCCGGAAAAACCCATCCAGGAGCACTACAAACATATGATACGGCAGGTAATTAATGAAGAACAGGTCTTCCTCTTGCTTGGAACCATCAGGATGGCCATCTGTCAGGAGATGGTGTCTATAACGCAAAGATGTGGGGGAAAAATATTTTCTTTTTAATCTCTTTACTGCTTTATACTGATGTAGTTTCCCCTTTTAAATTAGCTGGGACTTTCTTGTGAGCTTTTACCTTGAGGCTTTTATATCACAGGCTTGAGACACTCTTGTAGTAAACAAAGTAACAAAGTTTATTTATAGCTTCTGGCTCCAACGCTTATGGTTACATTTGTGTATTCTATTACAGTCTTGAGTCTTATATTCAATATCATTCACTTAGTTAACTTTTCCTATCAAACTTCAACTGTTTCACACTGGCACTTCTTTATTTTCCTTAAAACTTAAGCTCCATTTTCCTAACTGCTTTTCTCTCACAGAAGTTCCTAACTGTCCTTCACAAACAGGAATCCCTAACTCCTCTTCTGACTGACTCTCTAACTGCTTATTTCAAAACAGACTCCTCCCCTTTGGAATGTTCAGCTCTCTTCCCCCCAACTGCCATTCTGGCTCAGTGGCCCTTTCAAATCCTGGCTTACACTCATCTGCATACAACCAATCGGCTGCACATATGCAAATTAATGTTGCCTCTACTGTTGCTACCCTATTTCTGCCAATTCTGCCCCATTGCAACATAGAGCTATACATCAAAAATTTAATATAGATCAACAAATTCGCTACAGTGTCCTTCCTAAAAGAAGTCGGGAAGGACTAGATGACCCTTGGGGTCCCTTCCAACTCTAGGATTCTATGATTCTGTGCAGAGTTTCAACGTCCACGAGGACGAAGACAATCCCGAGAGGATCCAGCAGATCATTCGACGGGCCATGGAAGACGCCGATTGGGTCATGGAGAAAGTGAGCCTTTGGTCACGACACAGGTTGGGTCCTTGGGGGGGATTTTCGGTGGCACCCACAACCTTCTTTCTCCCTTCCCTTCTAGTATAAGAAGCAGAAGTAAGACGAGGAACTTGGGAAGGAAGGCCGGTGGATTGTGGAGTGATTGCAAAGACCAGTTATGGGTTCCAGATCGGGTTCCAGGTCGGAGCATTGGACTCCATTAGCAAGAAAGACACTGTATTTCCCATCTTTCACATCTTTTCAAATCTCTTCATAGAAACACATGAGGAATGCCGTGCTCAGTGGCTCAAGTCCACGAAAACTGGGGCACCCTTGGATCCGAAATCAATAATAAAGATGCGGAAGTCCCCATTCCCAGAGTTGTTGTTTTTAATAATAATAATAATGTAATAAAACTTTATTTATACCCCGCCACCATCTCCCCAAGGGACTCGGAGCGGCTTACACGAGGCCAAGCCCAACAACACATCAAAAACAACAAGCAATAAAATAAACAATACGATTAATATAACTTAATTAATATAACTCCATCAGTGTTTCTCAACCTGGGGGTTGGGACCCCTGTGGGGGTCGCGAGGGGGTGTCAGAGGGGTCGTCAAAGACCATCGGAATACATAGTATTTTCTGTTGGTCGTGGGAGAACTGTGTGTAAAGTTTGGTTCAATTCCATCACTGGTGGTGTTCAGAATGCTCTTTGATTGTAGGCGAACTATAAATCCAACTCCCAAATGGCAAGATCTACTTTCCCCAAACTCCACCAGTGTCCACATTTAGGCATACTGAGTATTTCTGCCAAGTTTGGTCCAGATCCATCATTGTTTTGAGTCCACACTGCTCTCAGGATGTAGGTGAACTACAACTCCAAAAATTCAAGGTCAATGTCCACCAGACCCTCCCAGTATTTTCTCTTAGTATGTGTGCCAAGTTTGGTTCAATTCCATCATTGGTGGTGTTCAGAATTCTCTTTGATTGTAGGTGAACTATAAATCCCAGCAACTAAACTCCCAAATGGCAAGATCTACTTTTCCCAAACCCCACCAGTGTCCACATTTAGGAATAATGAGTATTTGTGCCAAATTTGGTCCACATCCATCATTGTTTTGAGTCCACACTGCTCTCTGGATGTAGGTGAACTACAACTCCTAAACTCAAGGTCAATGCCCACCAAACCCTTCTAGTGTTTTTTCTTAGTCATGGGAGTCCTGTGTGCCAAGTTTGGTTCAATTCTATCATTGGTGGGATTCAGAATGCTCTGATTGTAGATAAACTTTAAATCCCAGCAACTACAACTCCCAAGTGCCTGGGTCTATTTCCCCCAAACTCCATCTGTGTTCCTAGTTGGGTATATTGAGTATCCGTGCCAAGTTTGGTCCAGATCCATCACTGCTTGAGTCCACAGTGCTCTCTGGATGAAGGTGAACTACAACTTCCAAACTCAACGTCAATGCCCACCAACCCCTTCTAGTGTTTTTTGTTGGTCATGGGAGTTCTGTGTGCAGAGTTTGGTTCAATTCCATCACTGGTGGAGTTCAGAATGCTTTTTGATTGTAGGTGAACTATACATCCCAGCAACTACAACTCCTAAATGACAAAATCAATTTTTTTTTAGTGGACATACATTGGGTTGTTAGGTGTCTTGTGTCCAAATTTGGTGTCAATTCATCCAGTGGTTTTTGAGTTATGTTAATCCCACAAACGAACATTACGTTTTTATTTATATAGACGTGTACATGGTTAATACACATAAATGGTCACGTTATTGCAAGATGCACAAACAATAATAACAACTGTATTACAACGTCTGTTACAAAGGTAATAACACACACACACGGCCTTTTTGGCCCACTTTGGTAACTGCGTAGAACTGGAGTTGTGTAAGAGTCTCCTTCCTAGGAGATTAATTTTGAAAAATGTGCATTTTATGATGTTTGCGAATATTTCTGCAAATATTTTTTAAATATTTAAATGAATATATTCTGTGTATATTTCTGTAAATAATTTTCATGTTTATTTTTTCTGGCTATTTTATCAATATTTTTGTTAATATTTGAACGAATATTTCTGTGAACATTTTTGTGAACCTTTTAATGAATATTTCTGAATACATTCATGAATATTTTATGAATATTTTCTGTGAATAATTTTCATGGTTATTTTTCTATTTTATGAATCTTTTGTGAACATTTTAATGAATATTTCTGGATACTTTCATGAATATTTTTCTGAATATTTCTGCAAATATTTTTAATATTTTAATGAATATTTTATGAATATTTTCTGGGTATATTTCTATGAATAATTTTCATTAATATTTTCTGACTATTTTATGGGTTTTTTGCAAATATTTTAAGGAATATTTCTGGGAATATTTCTTTGAACATTTTAAAGAATATTTCTGAATACGTTCATAAATATTTTTCTGAATATTTCTGCAAATATTTTTAATATTTTAATAAATATTTTAAGAATATTTTGTATATTTCTATGAATAATTTTCATGATTATTTTTCTGACTATTTTATGAATCTTTTTGTTAATATTGTAATAAATATTTCTGGGAATATTTCTTTGAACATTTTAATGAATATTTCTGAAAATGTTCATGAATATTTTTCTGAATATTTCTGTGAATATTTCTGCAAATATTTTTAATATTTTAATGAATACTTTATGAATATTATCTGTGTATATTTCTATGAATAATTTTCATGAATATTTTTCTGACTATTTTATGGGGGTTTTTTTCAAATATTTTAACGAATATTTCTGGGAATATTTCTTTGAACATTTTAATGGATATTTCTGAATACGTTCATTAATATTTTCCTGAGTATATCTGTGAATATTTCTGCAAATACGTTTAATATTTGGATGAATATTTTATGAATATTTTCTATGTATGTTTCTGTGAATAATTTTCGTGATTATTTTTCTGACTATCTTATGAATCTTTTTGTTAATATTTTAATGAATATTTCTGGGACTATTTCTGTGAACATTTCAATGAATATTTCTGAATACGTTCATTAATATTTTTTTGAATATTTCTGTGAATAGTTCTGCAAATATTTTTGTATCATTTTCTGGAAGTTTTTTCAGAATATTTCTTTGAATATTTTAGTGAATATTTTAATGATTGTTTTCTGTGAATATTTCCATAAATATTTTCGCAACTATTTCTATGACTATTTTTAATTAACATTTTTTCAGAAAGTTTCTGCGAATATTTCTGCAAATATTTTTATCATTCTCTGAATATTTTTTTCAGAATATTACTGTGAATATTTTAGTGAATATTTTAATGATTATTTTCTGTGAATATTTCTGTGAATATTTTCACAACTATTTTTGTGACTATTTTTATTAACTTTTTTTCCTTAATATTTCTATTTGAACGCCGAGCCTCAACAGTCACTGAATGGCCGGCGGGTGCTTTGCAAAGGAAGTCCCAGTGATGCGGTCCGCGGAGGCCTGTCTTCCTCACTTGATTTTGCTCTTTGTGCTCTCGGAGCATCGGGTCAGGATCAAGTCTTTGCTGGGCCGCGGAGGGATGGCGGGCTGGGCTTTGGATGCCTTCTCTTCCCGCTCGTCCTTCTCCACTAAAAGGAAAAGAAAAGGCGAGGTTGGAACTTCCCAAGCAGAGAGAGAATCCTAGAATCCTTGCGGAGAGAGTGAGCAGGCCGAAGACTGAGTTGGTGGGCCAAAGCTGGTGTCATCCTGAGGAGTGTGAGGTAAACCTCAGTGTGAGAGAAGCCTTGTGTGAGAAAGCTCCAGTGTGAAGGCTGCTGTGTGTATTTGTTTGTGTTATGGAAGCCTAGTTCATAGAATCATAAGAGTCGGAAGAGACCTCGTGGGCCATCCAGTCCAACCCCATTCTGCCAAGAAGCAGGAAAATCTCATTCAAAACACTCCCAACAGATGGCCATCCAACTTTTGTTTCAAAGCCTCCAAAGAAGGAGCCTTCACCACATTCTAGGGCAGAGAGTTCCACTGCTGAACAGCTCTCCCAGTCAGGAAGTTCTTCCTCATTTTCAGGTGGAACCTTCTTTCCTGTCGTTTGAAGCTGTGGCTCCGTTGCGTCCCAGTCTCCAGGGCAGCAGAAAACAAGCTTGCTCCCTCCTCCCTATGACTTCCCCTCACATATTTATACATGGCTATCAAGTCTTCTGGTGGCGCAGTGGGTTAAAGCACTGAGCGGCTGAGCTTGTTGACCAAAAGGTCGCTAGTTCGAGTCTGGGGAGTGGGGCGAGCTCCCACTGTTAGCCCCAGCTTCTGCCAACCTAGCAGTTCGGAAACATGCAAATGTGAGTAGATGAATAGGTACCACTCCAGTGGGAAGGTAACGGTGCTCCATGCAGTCATGCCTGCCACATGACCTAGGAGGTGTCTATGGACAACGCTGGCTCTTCGGCTTAGAAATGGAGATGAGGACCAACCCCCAGAGTCGGACACGACTGGACTTAATGTCAGGGGACAACCTTTACCTATCATGTCTCCTCTCTGTCTTCTCTTCTGCAGGCTAAACATGCCCAGCTCTTTAAGCCGCTCCTCATAGGGCTTGTTGGGAACCACTGACTGAGGCTCAATAAGGAAACAGCCATGCACGAAAAACTCAATAGAAGTACTCCCAACAGAGAGCCACCCATCCACCCAGCCTCTGTTTACCAATACAACTTACAGATTGCGCTGCCTTTGTTGAGGAGGTTGTTGCCTCTCAGCTTCTTTCTGCTCTGCATGTATTTCACGCTGTTTCGCCGGTATGTCTCCTGGCTGATCTGCTTGCGGTTCTGGTTGTGGATGCTCTTGATGTTTCGGATGGTGGATCTGCCAAGATGGAAAAGCAGAGAAAGAGAGAGAGAGAGAACTCAAAGCCCCGCCACACCGACAGCGGAAAGAGGAGACTGATCCCCATATGCCACGTTGTTATTATGAATTTCTATCATTTAATACAATTATAATTATTTAATTATAAATAATGTAATGATGATTATTATCATGATCAAGGCTGGCCTCCATAACACCATCTCCAAAGAACTGACCTGAGAACGTTTGGTGTAAACAACGTCTGTTTACATAATCAAAGGCAATGTTACCTTAAGAATGAAGATAAACAACAGATCTGTTTCGGGATTGATGAGGCTCTCATAAGTCTGAGCTGAATGACAGAGGTTACCGAAAATACCAAGTAATGGATAACCAAAAATTGCTCCATAAGGAGAATATTTTCCTTTCTTTTTCCAAAGTGTGCCAGATCTGTGAGGAATACAGCATTTTGAACACCCGCCTCCTTCCGTATTTCCAAGAAGCGTCATCATTGGAATGTTAAAGGATGGAGAGTATGAACGAGCGAATGAGTGGATTGTGAGTTAAAGAATGGGAAGAAAAAGAATGATGAGTATGAACGAGTGAACAAAAAGATAACGAGTGAAGAAGGATGGTGAGTATGAGTGAGTGAATGAATGGATGGTGAGAATGAACGAGTGAATGAATGGATTGTGAGTGTAGAAGGATGGTGAGAATGAATGAGTGAATGAAAAGATAACGAGTGAAGAAGGATAGTGAGAATGAACGAGTGAATGAATGGATTGTGAGTGTAGAAGGATGGTGAGAATGAATGAGTGAATGAAAAGATAACGAAGAAGAAGGATAGTGAGAATAAATGAGTGAATGAATGGATTGTGGGTAAAGAAGGATGGTATGAATGAGTGAATGAAAAGATAATGAGTGAAGGATAGTGAGAATGAATGAATGAATGAATGGATTATGTGTCAAAGAATGGAAAGTAGAAGAATGATGAGTATGAATGAGTGAACAAAAAGATAATGAGTGAAGAAGGATGGTGAGTATGAATAAGTGAATGAATAGATATTGTGAGTGAAGAAGGACAGTGAGAATGAATGAGTGAATTAATAGATTTTGGGTGAAGCAGGATGGTGAGTATGAATGAGTGAATGAATGGATTATGTGTCAAAGAATGGAAAGAAGAATGATGAGTATGAACAAGTGAACAAAAAGATAATGAGTGAAGAATGATGGTGAGTATAAATAAGTGAATGAATAAATATTGTGAGTGAAGAAGGACAGTGAGAATGAATGAGTGAATGAGTGGATTGTGAGTGAAGAAGGATGATGTGAATGGATTGGGAGTGAAGCAGGAAGGGGAGTATGAACGAGTGAATGAATAGATTATGTGTCAAAGAATGGAAAGAAGAATGATAAGTATGAACGAGTGAACAAAACGATAATGAGTGAAGAACAATGGCAAGTATGAATAAGTGAATGAATAGAATATGAGTGAAGAAGGATGGTGAGAATGAATGAGTGAATTAACAGATTGTGGGTGAAGCAGGAAGGTGAGTATGAATGAGTGAATGAATTAATTATGAGTCAAAGAATGGAAAGAAGAAGAATGATGAGTATGAAGGAGTAAATGAAAAGATGAGTGAAGAAGGATGGTGAGTGTGAATGAGTGGATTGTGAGTGAAGAAGGATGGTGAGTGTGAATGAATGGATTGTGAGTGAAGAAGGATGGTGAGTATGAATGAGTGAATGAAAAGATAATGAGTGAAGAAGGATGGTGAATATGAATGAGTGAATGAATGAATGGAGTGTGAGTGAAGAAGGATGGTGGGTTTGAATGAGTGAATGAATGGATAGTGAGTGAAGAAGAATGGTGAGTATGAACGACTGAATGAGTGGATTGTGGGTAAAGAAGAATGGTGAGTATGAACGAGTGAATGAGTGGATTGTGAGTGAAGAAGGATGGTGAGTGTGAATGAGTGAATGAGTGGAGTGTGAGTGAAGAAAGATGGTGAGTATGAATGAGTGAATGAATGGATTGTGAGTGAAGGATGATGATGAGTATGAACAAGTGAATGAATAGATTGTGAGTGAAGAAGGATGGTGAGTATGAATGAGTGAATGAGTGGAGTGTGGGTGAAGAAGGATGGTGAGTATGAATGAGTGAATGAGTGGATTATGAGTGAAGAAGGATGGTGAGTGTGAAGTCTCGGCCTAGTTTTACCCCTCTGTTTATTTCCCTGTTTGCTCCCTGGAGGTGGACTGTTCCATTCTGCTAAGTTTTGGAGTAGGAGCTTAGGATCCCCCTAGAGGCCGAGCTCTGTTGGTTCAGCCCATTCTGGCTCAGAGCTTGGTGGAAGGACTTTTCCCCTCCATTCTGCTTTGACAGAGCTTGTAATAGTTAGCCAGAAAGTGTCTGGTCTGGCTTGGCGGTTTGGAACAGGCAATCCTTAGCACGTATTTGCCTCAGAGACCAAAGTTTATAGATGTACTTTCCATAGAATATAGATGTATATGCCTCCATAGAGTATAGAAGAATATAGAAGTGTATGCCTTATAGATTAGAGTTGTACCATCATAGAGAGTACTTACCTCATAGAATATAGTTTTGTTCTTTACCTCAGAGTTGTACCTTATACCTGTACCTTACTATTCTAATTCTATACCATCAAGAATTTATAACACCCAGTCCTGGAGTACGTGTACTTTTTTCTCTGAAAGCGCCTTATATGTACTCTGTCCCACTGATAACGGACTAAACAACATTTTCAAGGTTCAAAAGTATTCATGACAAGGACATTCAGCCACAATTCCCTGGCTGAAACGCCCCCCGAATGCCCAGGCACCGACCTTCGTGGAGGGGCCACTTTGTTCCTCAGGTGGTTGTTGTTCTCGGGGGTCTTCTCTTCACCCGCTTTCTGCAGGTACATGGAGGGGTAGTAGCCCGTGGCCTCGTCCTTCCTGCAATTTAGAGACAAAAAGAAAACTGCTCCAACTACACACTACACACCATCTACGTTGTCTACTCTAAAGGATTTACATTCTCTGTATTATATTATATTGACTCAGTTTTCTCCATCTGTTTGTTGAAAAGGAACCACTGGGGCATCCTTTCTCGCATCAGGAAGCCTCACCTGACGACCCACCACCCGTCCAGCAATTTGTGGATCACTTCAATGGTTTCCCCTTCCTTCAGTGAGATCTCGTCCTCCTGGGCAGCCATGTAGCCTCTGCGGACGACGTGAAGCTCACCTTGGGAGAAAGCAAGCAAACAACAGCTCAGATTCTACACTCGTTCTCTAGCTTTTTCAAAACAGCAATTATTATTATTATTATTATTATTATTATTATTATTATTATTATTATTTACAGTATTTATATTCCGCCCTTCTCACCCCGCAGGGGACTCAGGGCGGAGTACAATGTGCATATACATGGCAAACATTCAATGCCACAGACACACAACATATATAGACATACACACAGAGGCTATTTAACATTCCAGCTTTTTGATGAGGGTATTCTGGCCACCAGGGGAGCTGTTGCTTCACCGTCCATTTGTGACACTGATGATGTACTTCCTCGTTCTTTGCATGCTTGCTAGAGATTTTTATGGCATTGTAAATTAGCCTCCCTGATTAATATTGACCCAAATGGTGACCGTTACCCGCATAATTGGGCTCCTGTTCTTCGGACTCATCAGGTCCATCCATAGGTTCCATGTAGGCAGCAGGGACCCAGCCCCGTTTGTTCTTTTGCTGACAGAACCACCAGCCTGGAAAGGAAACGTGAGAGTTGTGTGATAAATATGATGTGTGGTTTCAATGAAATTGTATGAAAGGTATACAGTAATAATAATAATAATAATAATAATAATAACTTTATTTATACCCCACTACCATCTCCCCAAGGGACTTGGTGCGGCTTACATGAGGCCAAGCCCACAACACAACACAACAAGACTGAAGACACCATCCTAAGGAGGTGAAAAATTCATGAACTGCTGAACTGCTGACATGATCAGAGATTATTATTAGCTCTTGGTTGAAAACAACATGTTTACATAGTCAGACAATTATTCTTTAAGGAAGTCATACAATAATAATAATAATAATAATAATAATAATAATAATAATAATAAAAACAAAACAACAATTCCTTATGAAAAGTCAACATCTGTCCGGAACTCACGGAGTCAGCATGTTTTAGATGCAAAACAACCTGTCAGTCATTTACAACTTTTTGGAAAAACAAAAGCAAGAAATTTGCTATATAAGAGACTTTCTTATTTTTCAAAAGTGTGGCAGACAGTGGAATCTGATCACCCACTGCTTTGTTGTTGTGTTGTTGTTGTTATTTTACTGACACAAAAACACAGTATGTCACAGCAAACAAGATCTATATGCTGGATTTCGTATCACAAAATCACAAGTCGAACACTTCCCAAGTGTCTAGGACTATGTGATGTATTTTCAAATGATGCGCGCAGATCCAAGTCAGGTGGCCTTTTGCAGTTGACAGATCGTGATTTTGTTAATGTTTCCGAATGCTGGCTGAGATCTTTTGGCATGGCACCCAGTGTGCCATTGACCACTGGGACCACCTGTACTGGTTTATGCCAGCCTTTGCAGTTCGATTTTGAGGTCTTGATAGTGGCTGAGTTTTTCCTGTTGTTTTTCCTCAATGCGACTGTCACTTGGTATGGCGACATCAATAATCCGAACCTTTTGCTTTTCCACAATTGTAATGGTTGTTGTTATTATTATTATCTTTCCTGGCCCTTTCCTCCTCTGTGCATGCAGATAGTATGCTAACCGCGTTTCTAGCCTGAATCACTAGGAGTTTAGTTTGTTGTTGTTGTTGTTGTTGTTGTTGTTGTTACTACTAGTATTATTATTATGTTTCCTGGTCCAGAGCTGCAAGTGTGCTGGTACGGCTGTACCAGGAGCACCAACTTCCTTTTCTTTCTTTGAGTGTTTGCATGTATTCCAAAGTTCCATGCATTTTGCAATAAGGTGGCTTCCTTTGGTTTGCAGTCATGGGGCTAGCCACCTGTCTATCATTGTTGGGTTTTTTAGTTCTGCCTCTTTCCCCAGGGTTCAGGAGGGAAAGGGAGCCATTTTGGTTCAGTCTTACAGTTGAAAGCTTAGCTACAGAACGTGAATCAGCTCCACGTGTAGAGAAGCTTCGTTTTTTACTAAATTCCGGGGGAAAACAGTTCCAAAGGACTCCAGCTGGAGAATCTACAAAGCCTTGACTGGTAGGTCTACTCAGGACCTAAGAAGCAGTTTGGAGCCGGGAGTAGAGCCCACACCAGCAAAGTTTGGAAAGTAGATTGCCCAAGGAGGGGTTAAAAAGGGTTTTCCTCTTAAAGAAAAGAAACAGTTCACAAAGCCAGTTGCCTGTCCCTTCTGGACATGATTAAGAAAGCCACCAGTTGATTCAAAGCCTTGAAGTATTTGAGAAGATCTGAAAAATATTTGATTGTTTTGTTGAAGACCTAAGCAATAATAAAGGACTTTGTTAAACTTTTCAAGCTTCTAAAGACTTTGTATAGGAAAATCCTTAGGGCCTCTCAGCTGAGGCACCCCGGCTTCCCACTGGGCACAAAGAGCACGTCCTGTTCAAAAGCCAATTGCTATAGGCTCAGCGCGTGACAGCACAGCAAGGCTACTCAATATAGTGGAATCAAACTACAGGAGACGCTATCTAAGCAGAAAGAGAAAAGGGCTGTTTGACAGCATAATTTGCTGTCTGGAGGTGTACAATATAATATCGTTCAAATACACTTAATACACAAACACAAGGCAAAGGATAATACAGACAATCCCCAAGTTTCTATCAAGAGAGGTTCTGTAGGTTTGTTCTTAAGTTGAATTTATATGCAAGTCAAAACTGACATTTCTGAAGTTACACACACACACACACACCAAGGACATTGACCATGAACATGCCTCCCAATCCCTGCCAATGTCCTCCCCAAACACCATACTGCCCACTACCCAAGGAATGCTTTCATCCGGGGCCAATGAGACTCACCCCACCCTCTCTTCTTACCGATCTCGCTCTTCTCCACGACATCCACGGTGTCCCCTGCCTTGACCCCCATCTCAGTGCTGGAGCTCTTCTCATAGTCCGCAATTGCTCGGTAGGTCTGCAGAATGATGGGCCCTGTGATATCTATAAGAGGAGGAGGAGCAACGGTGAGTAGGAAAGTCCCAAAGGGAAGATGTGAGGCTGGGGTATCTGGAGAGAGAGTGGCCAGTTCTCTATGAAGGCATGGAGGGGGGGGGGGTCTGCACTATAGGATGCATGCAGTTTGACACCACTTGAACTGCCACGGCTCAATTCTAAGGAATTCTGATAGTTGTAGTTTGAACCTGGCCAAAGAGTGTGGGTGGGTGCCTCACCATTGCGCAAATCCCAGGATGATGTGGCATCAACCCACGGCAATTCAAAGGGTGTCAAACTGCAATAATTCCACAGCAGCAGCAGCAGCAGCAGCAATAATAATAATAATAATAATAATAATAATAATAATAATAATAATATATAATAATTATATATATAATAATAATTATATACCATAATATATAATAATAATAAATTATATACAATAATAATTATATAATACCATAATAATAATAATAATAACATAATTTATAATATGATAATATAATATAATAATATTATATAATAATATAATATAATAATATTATATAATATTATAATATTATAATATAATTATATATGGTTCAACTATATATGGTCTATACCTTGGTCCATATATCAAAGGGACAATTTATTGGCAATCTCACCTCAGAACAATGTATTTTATGTGTGGCAAAAACGCAAAAAATAGCATATAAAACAGCCCTGTATTTAAGCAAAGCAATACACCTGAGATCCACATATGTGGAACTGATCAAGGTCAACTGTAGGGGGTGGATAGGGAAATAGGATGTTTATATTCGGTTTTATGATATTTTTTACTGTATTATTATAAGTTCCTTGCTTAACTTACTAAAGCGAGTTTTATTAAGTTGTATCAAGCTTTGTTGTTTGGTTCGATATGGTGACATGGCCTAAGGGCTAATCAATGTATTTATATTTATATAATAATATTAAAATAATATAATATATTCATAACATCATAATATAATATAATAATAATATATTATTTTATTATAACATTAAAATAATATACTATAATAATAGTAATGATGATAATAGTATAATATATTAAGAACATAATTGTATATCTTATTAATGGGCTCCCCATTAATAATAGGTTAAACCACTGAGCTGCTGAACTTGCTGACCGAAAGGTTGGCGGGAGAGGGGTGAGCTCTGGCTGTTAGCCCCAGCTCCTGCCAATCTAGTTGTTCGAAAACATGCAAATGTGAGTAGATCAATAGGTACTGCTTCGGTGGGAAGGTAAGGGCACTCCATGCAGTCATGCCAGTGGCCACGTGACCTTGGAGGTGTCTATGGACAACGCCGACTCTTCGGCTCAGAAATGGGGATGAGCACCACTCTCCAGAGTTGGACACAACTAGACTTAATGTCAGTGGAAACCTTTATCTTTTAATAATATAGTGTAATACAATAATGTATTAACATAGTAATATAATGTAATTATAATATAATATAACATAATAATAACAACAATAACAACAGGACCGGGTTATGGTGCAGCTGGTAGGGAGTCAGCTGCATTAAAAATCACTTCTGATCACAAGGTTGTGAGTTCGAAGCCAGCCTGGGTCAGAGTAAGCTCCCGACCATTTGTCTAGCTTGCTGTCGACCTTTGCAGCCTGAAAGACAGTTGCATCTGTCAAGGAGGAAATTTAGGACTTCCTTACCTTCTGCAATCTTCTTGGAGTCCTTTGGCATTAAATAGGTTTCTGGCCTCTTGACTCTAATAAGAAAAAAGGGGGAAGAGGAAAGCTTTTGACGTCCTTGGTTGACTTCAGTGGCTATAAACTAAGGGTGTATCCATCCCCACTGAAGAATTAATGAAGTTTGACACCACTTTAAGCTCAATTCTCTGAAATCGTTGGGAGTTGTAGTTTTGCATGATCTTTAGCCGTCTCTACTCACTCATGGGAGTTGGTGGGGTTCTACAAGGCGTTTCACCTTCTCTGCCCAAGAGTGTCTCCAAACTACAACTCCCCAAAATAAACATTAAAATATTGGAAAAAAATGTTTACTGAAATAATAGCAAAAATATTCAAAAAATATTCACAAAAATCATGGAAATATTCACAAAATAATCATAAAATATTTGCAGAAATATTCATCAAAAATATTCATGAAAATCAGGAAAATATTCACCAAAAGAACCATAAAATATTTGTAGAAATATTCATCAAAATATTCATAAAATCATGAAAATATTCACAAAAATAATCATAAATTTTTTGCAGAAATATTCACCAAAAATATTCATGAAATTATTCACAAAAATAACCATAAAATATTGGCAGAAATATTCACCAAAAGTAAGCATAAAATATTCAGAAAAAGGTTTACTGAAATAGTAGCAAAAATATTCAAAAATATTCACAAAAATCATGGAAATATTCATAAAAATAATCATAAAATATTTGCAAATAATAATCACCAAAATATTCACAAAATCATGAAAATATTCATCACAAGAGCCATAAAATATTTGTAGAAATATTCACCAAAATATTCATAAAAATCCTGAAAATATTAACAAAAATAACCATAAAATATTTGCAGAAATATTAACCAAAAGTAAGCATAAAATATTCAGAAAAAAATGTTCATAAAATAATAAAATTTCCATAGATATATTCAGAAAAATATTCACAACAAATAGTCACAAACCATTCACAAATATAATTACAATAGTCATAAAAATAATTGAAAAAATATTTGTAGAAATATTCATCAAAAATAAGCATTAAAATATTCATTTAAAAAGTTCATAATAATAATATTTTACAGGCATATACAGAAAAATATTCACAACCAATAGTCACAAATCATTCACAAAGATAATAACAATATTTATAAAAATAATTGAAAAATATTTGGAGAAATATTCACCAAAAATAAGCTTTAAAATATTCAGAAAAAGTTCATTAAAAATAATAAAATTTTCACAGATATATTCAGAAAAATAATCACAACAAATAGTCACAAATCATTTACAAAAGTAATTACAATATTTATAAAAAATAATTGTAAAAATATTTGCAGAAATATTCTCCAAAGCATTAAAATATTCAGAAAAATATTCATAACACAAAATAGTCAGGAAAAAATCCACAAAATAATTAAAATATTCACAAAAATAATCAGAAATGTATTTACAGAAATATTAGCCATAAGTAAGTATAAAATATTCTGAAAAAAATGTTCACAAAATAATCATAAAATATTCAAAAACATAAAAACATTCACAAAAATACTTATATATTTGGAAAAATATTTACAAAAAATATCATTAAAACATTTGCAGAAATATTCATAAAATATTAATCTCTCCCAGGTCTCCATAGCTTACAGTAGTGAAAGTGGTGTGGAACCGCATTGATTTGACAGTGTAGATGCACCATATGACATCTGCCTATTCTCCCAGTGCTAAACCAATACTCACTGGCCTGCGGTGGGGGGATTCAGATCATCTGGTCTGACTTTGAAGAAAGACAGGATGTGTTCACACCGGGAGATCTTTCGTGGAAGGTTGATCAGGGCAGAGAAGTACTCAGAGAGTGTGTTTTGTCTGTTTTGGGTGGATCGCTGGCTGTCAAACCACTTTGGTGCTAAAAGGGACGGACAGAGAGAAGAACATACGGGACCGATGGACACGATTAAGTGTTAGAATTTGCATATAAGTCAAGCATATTCACAATTAAATGTCAAGTTTGGATGAGTAGACAAGTCTCGGTAGCTGAGGCAATTCATTGTCAGGTGCAACTGTGAAGTAATCCCAAGCGAAAGGGATAAAGTGACACAATAATTGATTGGATTATATTTGCATACATGGACAATATTTGTATATATTTACAATATTTGTATACATTTATAATATTTGTATTTTGTTGTTTTTTCATTCAGTTGCTTCCAACTCTTTGCGATGTCATGGACAATACTTGTATACATGGATATTGTTTAAAATACGTGGACGATATTTGTACATGTGGATGATATTTGTATATGTGGATGATATTTGCATACATGGATATCGTTTGTATCCATGGATGATATTTATATACATGGATGATATTTGTATACGTGGATATTGTTTGTATCCATGGACAATATTTGTATATGTGGATGATATTTGCATACATGGATATCGTTTGTATCCATGGACGATATTTATATACATGGATGATATTTGTATACGTGAATATTGTTTGTATCCATGGATGATATTTGTATACGTGAATGGTATTTGTATACGTGGATATTGTTTGTATCCATGCACAATATTTGTAGACATGGATGATATTTGTATACGTGGATACAGTTTGTATACATGGACAATATTTGTATACGTGGATATTGTTTGTATACATGGACAATATTTGTATATGTGGATGATATTTGCATACATGGATATCGTTTGTATACATGGACGATATTTATATACATGGATGATATTTGTATACGTGAATATTGTTTGTATCCATGGACGATATTTGTATACATGGACAATATTTGGATACGTGGATATTGTTTGTATCCATGGACAATATTTGTGGACATGGATGATATTTGTATACATGGATATAGTTTGTATACATGGACAATATTTGTATACGTGGATATTATTTGTATACATGGACAATATTTGGATACGTGGATATCGTTTGTATACATGGACAATATTTGGATACGTGAATGATATTTGTATACGTGGATGATATTTGTATACTTGGATATTGTTTGTATACATGGATGATATTTGTATACATGGATGATACTAGTATACATGGATATCATTTGTTTACACGGACAATATGTGGATGATACATGGATATTTTTGTATACATGGATATTGTTTGTATACATGGACAATATTAGTATACGTGGATATCGTTTGTGTACATGGACAGTATTTGTATACATATATAAAAGCCTTCCTGATTTGGAAAGATATTTCTGATGTTCAAATTGTTTGTATACATGGATGATATTTGTATACATGAACGATATTTGTATACATGGATATCATTTGTATACATGGACAATATTTGAATATGTGGATGATACATGGATATTGTTTGTATACATGGACAATATTTGTATACATATATAAAAGCCTTCCTGATTTGGAAAGATATTTCTGATGTTCAAATCAGATAAACTCCAGAGTTACTAAGATCACCAAACCTACTTGTAGACGCGCTGAACGTTAAGGTAACAATACCTAACCCGGTGATGTAACCCACACTACATTATTATTATAGTCATTTTTACATCATTTTAAGTGCCACAATCTCTGCGAACTCCCGATATTTGGAGTTTCGGGAGAAACTTAGTCTCCTTTCCCATTCTGTAGTTCGAGGAGATCACTCTCCTTAAAGTAATGTTCTCTGGACTACCAATATTGGTCTCTACTGAATTTTGGGAAAGAAAGAAAGAAACGACAGGGGCAAAATATGGTGTGCAATGGAGAAAGACCATTGCTAGTCGCCCAAGTCAGAAAGGATCTCAGTAGTGGATCCACTTACCTGGTAAGTGTGGAATGATCCGATTCTCGACATTAATATCGCCAGATTCAATTGGAAACATCTGCTTCAAGGTTTTCTAACAAGAGATGAGAAAAGAAACACATTCTTCAAAAACTAGCTTAAAGTCATGGGAGAAACGTAAATTAGCCATGTGTGCGTTTAACTGACACCTAGGTATGCTGATGAGCATTATGGGCCCTATTTTGGAGTATCTCCCATGTAGCTGAACCCCATTGAAAGCCCCTAATTCACACGCTGTTGGGGTTCAGCCTCCGTGTGAACCTGACCCTCAGCCTCCGTGTGAGCCTGACCCTCAGCCTCTGTGTGAACCTGAACCTGATTCTTTGATTGTATTTCCTGATGCAACTGAATAGGCCACTGAACATGTATTTTTCCCTGATGGTTTGGAAACTGTTGATTCTGAGGACAGTGGCTGGGAAAGTGAAACTACACATCCTGATGAGAATGTTTCAGAGTCAAGCGGTGATAACTCTCCAGAGGAGCTAACACCTGCCTTGTTAATGAGGATAGAAGAGGACAGATTTGGAAAAACAGGAGTGAATCACTGAGTCTGCGAAGGTCAAGTAGATTAAAGGAAAAGGAAGCTTCCAAGCCTGGAGGCGTGTCCCGAAACAGTTTATTTACTTTTAAGTGTCTCCTCCCAGGCTGTCTCGTTACATCAAGCATCGTTTAGACTGAGGCATTACCTTGGCAGAGTTCCCGTTTCCCATGGCCTGCATTCCCAGAGGCTTCTAGTTTCCAAGTACGATTAGTGAAATGCTAACAGGTTCCAGGTTTTTATAGTGTTGTTTTTGGAATTTTGATCTAGTTCAGAGATATTCCTGACTGCCGAGTTTTACTGTGGCATTTTGACTTTGCATTTTCCTCTATTTTGTAACTATTTTTCATCAATAAAAAAGGATTGTTTTTCCCACAGTCAAGTGTGGTGGATTTAATCTTATGGTCTCGTTTCCTGATCTGGGTTGCAACACACGCCTCTGCACATTCGCACTATGCAGCATCTGAACACTTATTATGTGGCCAATGCATATGTGTCCAACTACTCTAGAGACTGGGTTTACCTCCCCGTTTGCCCATAGAAGACCTCTGGGTGAGCTTGTGCAGGTCACACTTTCACCACTTCAGAGGCAAACATCTGTGATGGATGGAGTGAATAAATTGTATTATTCGGGTCTGGCTATGGGTCTATTAAGGTCTGGAAAGGCTGAAAACACCATCCTAAAAAGGTAGCTGGAAAATGGCGGGGGTGAAGAAATTCATTAACTGTGGCATGAGAGGTGCTGATAAGAACAGCTGACCTGAGAACTCTGGTTGTTGATAGGAGAAATGCTTTCAGTCAGCAAAGGAAAACAAACCAGGCTCTCAGGCGCTCTGCCAGATTGCAGGAGAGACTGATAGCAGATTCAAGGCTGAGAAGAAATCAGTTCCTGGCTTCTTGGGATATAGAGTAGATTAGGGGATAAAAGTGCCAAGTACAGAATCTGTAGCCAGATGAAGCAAGGTTGGAATTGAGTCAAGGTGTCATCTCAGGTCCCCGGAAGCCTTGCCTTGGATAGATTCCTGTATCAAGTGCATTGTTGTTTCCATGCTTGTTTGATTCATGCTCAAGTTTTGGGATTTTCCCTTGGAAGTTCCAGTATTTGTTGTCATGGACTATTTCCTGGATTTGTTGTTCCTATCTTTCTTTTCTACCTAATTTGATTTACCTGTTTTTGTGGATTGCTTTTTCCTGCTACTGCTTTTGAATATCTTCAATAAACTGCTTGCATTTTACTCAGCTGTGTGGTGTTTAAAGTCAGAGGGCTTCCTGCTCTGGAGTGCAACAACAACCAAGTACAACAACAAAATGCTCTACAAAAAGGAGACCTTTTTTCTTTTCAGGTTGTATAAGTGTTAATGACACCTCCTCTGAATGAATCCCATGATAACCTATCGATGACTTCAAGGCACACAGCACCAAACAAACAACACAAGATGTCACAAGGGTGGCACCAGCTTCTGTTGACTTCCTCAGGCTACCTCTTGCACAACTGAGACGGGGGAGAGGCAGGATGTTTCTCAGTTTAGCCAAATGTTGCTGCGGTTGGATTCGGTGCCAAGGCAGAAGGTGCCAGTCAGAAGAATCAGCTCTGGTTGCAGAATTTGTGTTAGAAGACACCCCTCTTTCTCTAAAACACTCAAATTGTCTACCTCACCGAGGAGTCCAAATGCCAGAGAGTAGTGACTCAAGTGAGTGAGTCAAGGGCATCCATGTGGTGCCACCTGCCACTCACTCAGATGGGCCCTCCTCACTCTAATCACCCTCCCCAACAAGAGAAGTAGCAGGTGGGGCAGAAGGTGTGCTTTGATCTACACCAGGAGCTCCTCAGCTGTGGTCCACAGTGTCTTGAAGTTCTAGAGATGTTATAGAGACCACAGAGAACCCGTCTTGAGTCCCATCTAGTTGATGATCCTTTCTTCCATTACTGTCTTTCTAGGCTTCATACCTTTGGTCCGAATCCCAATGGGATCTGCAATGACTTTCTAACTTCCATACCTTTGGGCAGAATCTCAAAGCTATCTTAGGCCATCTCCTGAGATTCTGGAGATGTTCAGGAGGACCATCAAGAACCCGAGTTCCATCAGTTGATGATCTTTCCTTCCATTACTGTCTTTCTAGGCTTCATACCTTTGGTCCGAATCCCAATGGGATCTGCAATGACTTTCTAGCTTCCATACCTTTGGGCAGAATCTCAAAGCTATCTTAGACCATCTCCTGAGATTCTGGAGATGTTGAGGAGACCACCAAGAACTTGAGTTCCATCTAGTTGATGATCCTTTCTTCCATGACTCTCTTTCTAGGCTTCATACCTTTGGTCAGAATCCCAATGTGATGTGCAATTACTTTCTAGCTTCCATACCTTTGGGCAGAATCTCAAAGCTATCTTAGACCATCTCCTGAGATTCTGGAGATGTTGAGGAGGCCATCAAGAACCTGAGTTCCATCTAGTTGATGATCCTTCCTTCCATGACTCTCTTTCTAGGCTCCATACCTTTGGTCAGAATCCCAATGTGATGTGCAATTACTTTCTAGCTTCCATACCTTTGGACAGAATCTCAAAGCTAACTTAGGCCATCTCATGAGATTCTGGAGATGTTGAGGAGACTATCAAGAACCTGAGTTCCATCTAGTTGATGATCTTTCCTTCCATTACTGTCTTTCTAGACTCCATACCTTTGGTCCAAATCCCAATGGGATCTGCAATGACTTTCTAACTTCCATACCTTTGGGCAGAATCTCAAAGCTATCTCAGACCATCTCCTGAGATTCTGGAGATGTTGAGGAGACCACCAAGAACTTGAGTTCCATCTAGTTGATGATCCTTCTTTCCATTATTGTCTTTCTAGACTCCATACCTTTGCTCAGAATCCCAATGGGATCTACAATGACTTTCTGGCTTCCATACTTTCGGGCAGAATCAATAAGCTAACTTAGATCATCTTTTATATCGGAAGTCCACCGATAACAAACCTGTGGACTTCCTCTATCTCTGAAGGCAGATGACGTCCAACTCTGTCACTCCTTCCCACCTACTACTCCTGAACCGTTGCTTGGCCGCTGTGTCGGACTGGATGAGGGCTAACAAATTGAAATTGAATCCAGATAAGACAGAGGCACTCCTGGTCAGTCGAAAGGCCGAACAGGGTATAGGGTTACAGCCTGTGTTAGACGGGGTTACACTCCCCCTGAAGACGCAGGTTCGCAGCTTGGGTGTGATCCTGGACTCTTCGCTAAGCTTGGAACCCCAAGTTTCGGCGGTGTCCAGGGGAGCATTTGCACAACTCAAACTTGTGCGCCAGTTGCGCCCGTACCTTGGGAAGTCAGATTTGGCCACGGTAGTCCACGCTCTGGTTACATCCCGGATTGATTACTGCAACGCGCTCTACGTGGGGTTGCCCTTGAAGACTGCCCGGAAGCTTCAGATGGTCCAGCGTTCGGCGGCCAGGTTACTAACGGGAGCGGCACTCAGGGAGCACACCACTCCTCTGTTGAGCCAGCTCCACTGGCTGCCAATCTGCTACCGGGCACAATTCAAGGTGCTGGCTTTAGCCTATAAAGCCCTAAACGGTTCTGGCCCTGCTTACCTCTCCGAACGCATCTCCACCTATGAACCGACGAGGACGTTAAGATCGTCCGGGGAGGCCCTGCTCTCGGTCCCGCCTGCGTTGCAGGCGCGGCTGGCGGGGACGAGGGACAGGGCCTTCTCGGTGGTGGCCCCTCGGCTATGGAATGCCCTACCCATAGACATCAGGCAGGCCCCTTCGTTGCTGGAGTTCCGGAGGAGGGTCAAGACGTGGCTCTATGAACAGGCGTTCGGTCAACAAGGCAACTGAACTCATGAAGACGGTATAAATGAACAAAGGAATGTTAGAATGATTATGAGAACGGAATCTGATTTTACTGAGGCGTTGATGACCACGTTGTTTTGTCTTGTATTGTCTGTCATGTATGTTGTGTTTTAACCAATTGATTTTTTTTATAAAAATTGCATTGTAAACCGCATTGAGTCGCCGATTTAGGCTGAAAAATGCGGTATAAAAATAAAGCAAATAAATAAATAAGGCTTTCAATGGGAATCATTGGGCCACCCCAGATGTTGGGATATACCACTCCCAATGCTCTGAAGTCTAAAACTCTGCCAAGAATGCTGGGAATTGTAGCTTGATAACATCTGTAAGACTTTGTAATTCTGACTCTTATAGAATCCTAGAGTTGGAAGAGACCTTGTGGGCCATCCAGTCCAACTTCTTTCTGCCAAGAAGCAGGAAATTTGCATTCAAACATCCCCTAACAGATGGTCATCCAGCCTCTGATTAAAAGAAGGAGACTCCACCACACTCTGGGGCAGAGAGTTCCACTACTGAACAGCTTTCTCTCACAGTCAGGAAGTTCTTCCTCAGGTTCAGGTGGAATCTCCTTCCTTTCCTGTAGTTTGAAGCCATTGCTCCATTGTGTCCTAGTCTCCAGGGTAGAAGAAAGGGAGTTTGCTCCCTCCTTCCTATGACTTCCCCTCACATCTTGACCCTGGCCCTCATCATGTCTCCTCTCAGCCTTCTCTTCTGCAGGCTAAACATGCCCAGCTCTTTAAGCCGCTCCTCATAGGACTTGTTCTCCAGACCCTTGATAATTTTAGTCGCCCTCCTCTGGACACCTTCCAGCTTGTCAACATCTCCCTTCAGTTGTCCTACCCAGAATTGGACACAGTATTCCAGATGTGGTCTGACCAAGGCAGAATAGAGCATGGGGAGCATGACTTCCCTGCATCTAGACACTATACAGGCCAAAATCCCATTGGCTTTTTTTGCCACCGCATTACATTGTTGCCTCATGTTTAACTTGTTGTCCTATAGGACTCCAAGATCCTTGGTCATTTTAGTCGTCCTCCTGTGTAAGACTTTGTAATTCTGACTCTTGCTGCAGAGAAATGGCTGGCAAGACACGAAAGGTGTGCAAAGCAATTGGCTTTGGAACAGGATGTGTTTTTTGTGCCCAGCGGGAAGCCGGGGTGCCTCAGATGAGAGGCCCTATGGATTTTCCTCTAGAAAGTCTTTAAAAACTTAAAAGGTTTAACAAAGTCCTTTATTATTGCTTAAGTCTTCAACAAACAATCAAATACTTCTTAGATCTTCCACAATTAAACAAATGCATCAAGGCTTTGAATCAACTGGTGGCTTTCCTAATCTTGTCCACAAGGGACAGGCAACTGGCTTCGTAAACTGTTTCTTTTCTTTAAGAGGCAAACCCTTTTTAACCCCTCCTTGGGCAATCTACTTTCTAAACTTTGCTGGTGTGGGCTCTACTCCCGGCTCCAAACTGCTTCTTGGGTCCAGAGTAGACCTACCAGTCAAGGCTTTGTAGATTCTCCAGCTGGAGTCCTTTGGAACTGTTTCCCCCCGGAATTTCCCCCGGATGCTGTGAGAAACGAAGCTTCTCTATATGTGGAGCTAATCCACGTCCTGTAGCTAAGCTTCCCAATGCAAGACTGACCTAAAATGGCTCCCTCTCCTCCCAGAGCCCTGGGGAAAGGGGCGGAACCAAAACCTAACAATGATTGATGGGTCATTGGCCCTATAATTGCAAACCAAGGGAAGCCACCTTATTGCAAAATGCATGGAACCTTGGAAGGCATGCAAACACTCAATAGAAAGAAATGAAGTTGGAGCTCCAGGTACAGCCGTACCAGCACAATCTTAAATCCAATTAGTAATTTGTTTTTGAGATTTGGAAGGTCCCCGCTTTGTTGGAGGGGGTCCCGTTGCGTTTCGAATCCTAATCTCCGAAGCTTCGTAATTGTTTCATTAAGATTTATTCCATTAGCAGCAATGGGGGAAATTGTGAGGCTATCAGGATGAAACATGGCACACTTGTAAGCAACGTGTACTATTTTCAGATTGTTTCGCTCATCCAGTAATTTTTAGGAAATTTTTACGTTTTTTACGTTTCAATTAGTAATTCAGATGCGGTGCATTAACAAATCATACAAATCTCCGAATTACGAAACGGACCTCCGGGCTTTGTGTTACTCGCTTTCTCTGCTGCAAAGAAGGACACTGTTGCAACAGAAGTCTTTAGCAGAGAGGAAAGACCTTGCAAAATTACAGCTTCCACTACTCCAAAGCATGAACCCTAGCAGTCCAAGTAGCGTCAAACTGTGATATTTTGAGAGTGCAGACACCCCTCCTATCTATAACTCTCCTTCACCCTTATCTTTATGAGCCCCCGGTGTTGCCGTGGGTTAAACCCCTGTGCTGGCAGGACTGAAGACCAACAGGTCACTGATTCGAATCCAGGGAGAGCAGGGATGAGCTCCCTCTGTCAGCTCCAGTACCTCGTGCAACGACATGAAAGAAGCCTCCCACAAGGATGATAAAATATCAAAACATCCGGCCGTCCCCTGGGCAATGTCCTTGCAGACGGTCAATTCTCTCACACCAGAAGCGACTTGCAGTTTCTCAAGTCGCTCCCGACACGACAAAAAACAAACAAACAACTTATCATTGCAGCTGCAACCGGATCCTCCAAGTTTGGTGCAAGTTTCTACTTACGTGGAACTCGTATATCTCGGTGAACTTCCGATAGACGACTTTTTCCGTGAGATCGTGCCATTTCACCAGAAACATGTAAACCTGGCAAGAATAAGGAGAGCTGAGTATTACATTATTATTATTATTATTATTATTATTATTATTATTATTATTATTATTATCATTATTATTTATAATTATGATTTATTATATTTATTATTATTATTATTATATATTGTTATATTTATATTTATATATTTTATTAATTATTAGCTGTACCCGCCACACACTGTGGCCAACCTTCCCTCCCTCTTTCTCTCTTCCTTCCCTTTTTTTTTCTTTCTTTTCTTCTCCCTTTCCTTCCTTCTCTTCCTTTTTCCTTCCTTCCCCCCTTTTCTTTCCCTTTCTCTTTTTCTCCTTTCTTCCTTCTCTACCTATTCTTGGACTGCAAATCTCAGCAGTCCTCCTGATCAATCTATCTACTTACCTACCTATCTCTTTCTAATCTATCTATCTGGAGGATTGCTGGGAGTTGCAGTCTAGGAATAGGAAATTGGAAGTATGCAGGGATTGGGATGCTCTCAAAGAAATCCAAGGAGAAGAAAGCTTGCAGCTTGGAAGCAGCACTTTTGTATCCTCCTCCTCTCCTAAAGGGCCTGGTCTAGGGGATGCTGGGAACTGTAGTCTGGAAGACAATGTGGATATGCTATTATGTGTTTTGTTTGCCAGGCGGGAGTCGTTTCGTGCATGCGCTGTAGTGTCTTTTTGCTTTTTTGTCTTTTTAAGTCCCTTCCGTTGTATTTTTCAGTGTTTTATGAGTGATGATCACTTGTTGGCCTGATATGTGTGTTGTGTCCAAATTTGGTGTCAATTTAGTGGTTTTTTATTTATGTTAATTCCACAAACGAACATTACATTTTTATGTATATAGATTACTAGCTGTCCCCTGCCACGTGTTGCTGTGGCCCACATGGGGGTTCTGTGTGGGAGGTTTGGCCCAATTCTATCGTTGGTGGGGTTCACAATGCTCTGTGATTGTAGGTGAACTATAAATCCCAGCAACTACAACTCCCAAATGTCAAGATTCTATTTTCCCCAAACTCCACCAGTGTTCACATTTGGGCATATTGAATATTCGTGTAGAGTTTGGTCCAGACTCCAGATCCATCATTGTTTGAATCCACAGTGCTCTCTGGATGTAGGTGAACTACAACTCCAAAACCAAAAGACACTGCCCACCAAACCCTTCCAGTATTTTCTGTTGGTCATGGGAGAACTGTGTGCCAAGTGGGGTTCAATTCCATCGTTGGTGGTGTTCAGGATGCTCTGTGATTGTAGGTGAACTACAAATTCCAGTAACTACAACTCCCAAATGTCAAGATCTATTTCCCCCAAACTCCATCTGTGTTCGCATTTGGGCGTATTGAGGGCTTGTGCCAAGTTTGGCCCAGATCCATCATTGTTTGAGTCCACAGTGCTCTCTGAATGTAGGTGAACTACAATTCCCAAACTCAAGGTCAATGCCCACCAAACCCTTCCAGTATTTTCCGTTGGTCATGGGAGTTCTGTGTGCCAAGTTTGATTCAATTCCCTCGTTGGTGGGGTTCAGAATGCTCTTTGATTGTCGGTGAACTAAATATCCCAGATTTGAATGAGAGGACATAGTTTCTTTTAAAATTGTTTATTATGCACTGTCGTTTATGTTTAATTTGCACTTGATGTTTTTGCTCTCGGGCTGAAATGGGCGGGATAGAAATAATGTAAATAAATAAATAAATAAACTACAACTCCCAAATGACAAAATCATTTTTTTTTTTTTAGAGAAGGACATATATTGGGTTCTTAGGTGTATTGTGTCCAAATTTGGTGTCAATTCCAGTATTTTCTGGTCATGGGAGAACTGTGTGCCAAGTTTGGTTTAATTCCATCATTGGTGGGGTTCAGAATGCTCTTAGATTGTAAGTGAACTATAAATCCCAGCAACTACAACTCCCAAATGACAAAATCAATTTTTTTTGAGTGAAGGACATATATTGGGTTGTTAGGTGTCTTGTGTCCAAATTTGGTGTCAATTCACCCAGTGGTTTTTTGATTTATGTTAATCCCACAAACGAACATTACATTTTTATTTATATAGATTATTATTCATATATTTTATTCATATATTTGTTATTTTATTTTATTTTTTATTATTATTCCCCACCACCAGCACCACCATGGCATGGAGTTCCAGGTACTACTTAGTACTTACGTAGTGTTGACTTGGGAAAAACCTCTTCTCGAAGCCCAGAAGCTCAATGTGTCGGATGTAGGCGCCCAGGTCCCCCATGGTGGACGCTCGGTCTTTCCAGTTGCTTTTCGGCACTCTCTCTCTGTGTTTCTCTCCGTCTCTGTCTCTTCAAGAGCCAAGCGGACATCGCTTTTATCTTCGGCAAAAAGGGAAGTGTGATTTCCACGCATTCTCTTCTTTCACTTCTGAAGTTACTTCCTCTTCTTTCTCTCGTTTTGATTCTGCGCCCGGCGAACGTGTCCAGAGCAAAGGAGGCCACCTGGCTGTTGCCTCAGAGGCCCAGGATCTCTTTCGCACAACCTTATTCATGGGATCCACCTTTGAGACCCATATGTTCTTGACCAGCACCCAGGTGAGCACCCAGGAAGCCTCCACGTGTGGTCAAGGTGGCCTCTGCTGAGTCCACTGAATGCAAACTTTGGCATTATGAACCCGATCTGCAGCAAGATAAAGCCTTATGGGGAAAGTGGAGAGAAGAGTTAAACGGGGCCATTTAAAAAGCTGGGTTGTCGAAAGCTTTCACAGCCAGAATCACTGATGTGTTGTGTGGTTTCCAAGCTGTATGGCCAATAATAATAAAATTAAATTAAATACACAATAATTTAAAGATTTTTATTTTTCCTTAGCTTACTTACTTAGGCTCGATCCCTCGTTGCGACGAGTAAGATGTTCCATTATGGGTTTCGCATGTGCAGGTCACCACATTGTAGGAGTCTTCTTCACTAGCAAAAAAGGGAAGAAATGGAAGAGACCAATGTATCCACGTAGGGCATTGCGTTTCCGAGGTGTGACGAGGGAAGGCGCGGGTCATATGGTTCGGGGTTTGGAGCACTCTGACGCCAGCCTTCCTTCCTGGACGTTATGTTCTGATCTAGTTCTAGAAACCCATCGCACGTCGATGCGAACTGTCACACTCGAATTATGCCAGAACCTGCTGAGTCAACATGTCTGAACCTCCCAACAGAGATAGAATCGGCGCTCGAGGACCCAGGGTTCCCAGTTCTCAGTGGTCTTATGCGGAGTTTTTAGGTTTGGCTTGAGGCACCACTCTTTAAATATCTTTTCCTGCCACCAATATGCGGAGGTTGTTTTGTGTCTCTACCACTTTTGCGAAATAGTCAAGATCCTTGATGCCGAGCGTCTCCTTCTCCCCCTCCCAAGTATTTATAGTTCGCCAATGGGCCGGACAATGGATTCTGCTGCTTCCTGACCCAGCGCACATAACTGGGTTCCTGTTTCCTCTTTGTGAACTCTCTGCTTTATGCACTGGACTATGGACTCTGCTACTACCCAACCCAGCGCCCATCACTGGGCTTCTGCCTTTTTCTTATTGACTCTCTGCTTCATGAACTGCAAGCAGCCTCAGTTTCCACGCACCTTTGCCAAAGGACTATGAGATCTCCAGTTTGCGTTATAATAAAGATCCAATATTGTAATAAACTTTTGCTGGGGATGGGGGGTGGGATTGTCTCATGAAATGTAAGATATACGAAATCTATGTAATGGAATATTGTATGAAATGTACTCTGGTCCCCCTCCCTGCTTCTCCTCTCTGACCCTTTGCCCCAAAAAGAATGTGACCCGAGGATTACTGTAACAGGGAGGAAATCCTTTGTCCTCCCGAAACGGTCCATATTTACATTTGCATGGGCCCGTGATTGATTCCTTCTCAAACTTACTTTCAGAGCAGACAGTAAGATGAGAGGAGGGTCAACAGAAACTTAGGAAGAACAGACTGTTTGGCTCATTTTTAGGTATTTTGTTGATCCCCCTTTTGAGGTCCAAATGCCACCGAAAGCTTCTTTTCATACTTCCTCCCAAATCCCATCACAGACCAGGAAACTTATTGTTCCCCTATCAGACACCCCGCCAGGTGAGGACAAAAGCCTCACATTCCCCTTAAGGCTGTCATTTCCTCAGTCTTTGTCAAGCTTCGTCCCACCTCCTGGCTGCCGATTGGTCCATCTTCAGAGGCGCTAGGAAGGCACTGATTGGCCTCCCAGAGGCAGCGGAGCCCGCTGATTGGCCCAGAGGCGAGGCATGCTGCCAAGCCTCCTCCCAGCTGTTCCGCGGCCAGCCAATCAGCACGAAGCCGGCTGACAGAGGGCGGGCGGGATTTTTGAAACTGTTTTCCTTTGCCTGTGTACTATAAAAATGCTTGGAAATTCTGTAAAACCATGCTTACAGTGGAATGATTCCTGTAATGCATCTGATCTCAGCTGAATCACAATAAACCTCGATTGCTGAAAAGGAACTTCTTCCACTTGGATGAGGCATTATTATTTATAATATTTTTACTCTTTGGATTGGCTCTCGCTGGCCTCACCAAGGGACCCAGAGCCCTTTAGGCGCGGTCCTCGGGTTTCTCTCTCTCTCAAGGAGACCCCGCTAAAAGCAGCTCGATATCAGTCAGGCATCTGGACAACGTGGCTGGCCCAGCGGAGTTGATGTTGGAGGACCATCGCTTCAATACTGGTGGTCTTTGCTTCTTCCAGCACACTGACGTTTGTCCGCTTGTCTTCCCAGGAGATTTGCAGAATTTTCCGGAGGCAGCGCTGATGGAATTGTTCCAGGAGTTGCATGTGACGTGGGTTCGTATAGAGATGCGGTCGCGCAGATAGGCAGGTCCCAAACCGTTCAGGGCTTTGTAGGTGAGAACCTTCACCCTGAATTGGGTCCGGAAAATGAATGGCAGCCAGTGGAGCTCCTTAAACAGGAGGGTTGACCGCTCACTATAAGGAGCCCCGGTTAACAACCTGGCTGCCACCCGTTGGACCATCTGGAATTTCCAAGCCGTTTTCAAGGGCAGCCCCACGTAGAGCGCATTACAGTAGTCAAATCTGGAGGTGACTAAGGCATGGACCACCCTGGCCAGATCCGCCTTCACGAGGTACGGTCGCAGTTGGCACACGAGTCTTAATTGTGCAAAGGCCCTCCCGGCCACCGCCGATGCCTGAGCCTCAAGCGTAAGTGATGAATCCAGGAGGACCCCCAAACTGTGGACCTATGTCTTCAGGGGGAGTGCATTACTGTCCAACACAGGTAGCAACCCTATACCCCGATCCAGTTTACAATCTCCAGTGTGTTCTAGCAATTAGGCACAGTTATCTATATTGCAACATAACAAAAAACAATATCAATAAAAATAGACAATTCAAAAACAATTTGTTGTCTTTCTTTATAGTCACAACTGGATACTAACTATTATTATATTGTACTGTAACTCCTACATAAGTATCAAAAGGAGAAAAGTCCAAATGTCTGGTATATATACATAACACGACAAAAAGTAATCCTGGGTACAATGTTCTTATTTCGGGGGATCCTTCTTCAGGTTGTGTAAATTTACAAATAATCTTTTGATGTATGGTTATTTTCTTCTTAAATCTGTGGTCTCAAGATCTCCTCCTATGTTGTTATGGATAAATCAAGAAATAGTTTTCTAAGATCTACAGAGACGCTTGCTAGAACACCCCAGCAAGCGAGAGTCCAAAAGTGGCAGGCTCAAACCCAAAACCTCAATCAATGGCTGATACCAAATGAGAGACTCCCCACTGGGCACACAGAAAACTGGGCGACTTGGAAGGTGCTCTGGTACCACGAGATGCAGAGCTAACCTTAAGAAATGGGGCTACAAAGTGGAATCCACGACATGCGAGTGTGGAGAAGAGCAAACTACAGACCATCTGCTGCGATGCAACCCGAGCCCTGCTACATGCACAATGGAGGACCTTCTTATAGTAACACCAGAGGCACTCCAAGTGGCCAGCTACTGATCAAATGACATTTAATCAACTACCAAGCTTGCAAACTTTATGGTTTGTTTGTTTGTTTGTTAAAAATGCAATACAACTGTTTGGCTTGCTCCTGACACGATAAATAAATGTGGATATATTGCTATCTCTTTAATTACACTTGCTCGATCCTGTTCCAGTTCAAGGCTTCCTTGTGCTGCTTATCTTCTTTCCTCCCATTGTGGAGCATCTTGTACAAAGCCAGCGGACCTGATGGGATCCCTGCTGAAATCTTTAAAGGAGGTCATCAGATCCTCCAAAGTCAGTAGCCACAGACGCCAGTGAAACAAAAAAGGAGCAAATTCTGATAGGACATATTGGACACATAGCCCGGAAACCACAAAACAACAACATCCTATTTTAAAAGCTGGTGAAAAAAGTGCAATCCTGGAAGATTTGTTGGGACCATTGCAATCCTCCTAACATTTTACCGCTGCAAAACACAGCATCACATCACACTAACTAAAGCAATGACCTAACGCAACAAATGACTTTCCAATCTAGTGGCAATGACCCACTTTCCAGGGATAGGGATGAGTAAGAAGAGACCGTTTAGTTGTTCAATCACTTCTGGAGTTCAGTTTCCCACATTGCATGACCTGATGTCGTAATGAAGCCAATGTTAGCTGTGGAAACTGTGAACAGGAAACACTGAACACGATGGGGTTTTAGATGAACTAAACAAAGAAAACAAAACACACCCATAAAGTAACCAGGGAGACACGAGCTCCAAGATAATCTTGAACTGGGGATTAAAATAGAGGCTGTAGTTTAAGTGTATATACTCAAAAGAAGAGAAAATAGGAACAGGACGAGAGCATGAATGTCACTCCTCCTCCAATTTAACATGATAGTCAAAGTCCATACATTGCTCTCCCTTTGGAAGGTCCCTCGATCTTTTTGTGGCCTTTCTCAGTGGGAAACAGAAGCCACAAAAAGGTCTGCTCCTGCTTCACTATCCTTTGATGGAGTACTTCCTCATTCTTCTGCATGCTGCTGGAAGGTTTTATGGTGTTGCAAATTAGTTAAATTAGCCTCCCTGCATAAAGCAGCACCTAAATTTCCTACTTGTCAGATGCAACTATTTTTTGGGCTGGTTGACAACAAGCTAGACTAATAGCCCAATACAAAATTGTCAACTTACTTAAAACATTATTATTTGGGGGGGGGGGGGGGATATTAAAGCCATTTAATTTATTTTAATTTGTTTTTAATTAGTTTTTATTTTAATCATTACATGTAGTCCGCCCATTGTCACTGTGTTTGTGCTTATTGTAATTTTATATTGTTACTAGCTTTACCCGCCACGCGTTGCTGTGGCCAACCTTCTCTCCCT